TCGCACCTGTCGCTGTTTTCCTTCTGATTTGATTATTTGGTTTGTTGATATTTGGTTCACTCCGTTTTGGAGCAGACCACAAAGCCTATTTGCTTCCCCCCACCCCCTTCTTCCCTCTTCCCGGCCACCTTCCCAACCCGTCCATGAGAAATGTGCAGAGAGAATGAACTACATGATAATGGGCTTTTTCCTCTTTTTAAAAAACTCACTATTGGGGAGGGAAATGAGGACAAAAGAGGTCTCCTAGGAATGATTAGAAAAGGGAGAAACGGTTTTCAAGTTGCCCACACGAAAATCGTGACTAAAATGAATTGTCCTCACCACTTGTGGCACTAGGCTCTATTAAACAGAGCTTGCAAAAGCCTTAGCTTCAGGAACCTGCTAAGTAGGGTCCTCCTCCCCAAGGCCTGCCTCTGGCATATTCGATGTCCAGATTATGTGCTGAGTTCTAGTATGGAAAGAAGGCTGAATTCCGTTTTAGATAGGTAATGGCCTTGAAAGACATTAGTTTTCCCCACCCCCAAGTTTTTTCTGTTCAGTTGCATTTCTTTTTTCTTCTTTGTATCCAAAATGTAACACCTTAATCTATTGTTTCCTTTGCCAAGAGTGTTACTTTTTCCACCAGCCAGTCCCTTGCTTTCCTAAACTACCCAAGCCTCAAGACAAGGCTTGTCTCCTCTGGGGAACGTTTCAGGTGCTTCACCTGAGCAAGCTGCCCCTCCCCCATTGTCTGCGCACCCTCTAGCCTCTGCTCCGTTCTAGTGTATGCGACAGGTTTGCTGAGCCCCTGCCCTGTGCCAGGCACTGGGCTTGATCTCAGTATTATTGTTTCCTAATCTGCACTGGTTCCCCCTACCCCTAGCCTGGGCTCTTGGGCGACAGTAGTGGCATGTCTGAGGAATGCTAATGCTGAGGCTCTGCTAGACCCTCATGCTCCCTCCCCTTGCATCTCACAGGGTAAGAGTGTCTTCCATTTGTGGGAACTCCTCCTCAGAGCTAAGGCCAGAGAAAATTCATGACTTACCACGGCCATGTAGCATAGGGTCTGGCCTGTATTGGGTGCTTTAAAAAAATTACTAAATGATCTTAATTACTAATATGAGCAGTAGTCTTTCTGCTTTTTAAGTGAACTTCTTATTTTGGAATAACTTTAGATTTATTCCAAAAATTGCAAAGGTGGTACAGACAGTCCCAAATGCTCCACACCCAGTGTTCCCCTGTTGCTGCCATCTTACACTGCCATGGTGCACGTGCCAAAATTAACAACTGACATGTATATTCCTTTAACTAACTTCCAGACATTAAGTCATTCCAGACATTAAGTTTTTGTAAAATTCCGTTTACCAAAATTTGTAAAGCTCTTTATGTTGAGAGTAGCGTACCAATAACGTCTGTCTTTGATTCTACCTGTCCTCACCGAGTTCCACGAGGACCCTTTGTCAAGGGACAGGCGTGGTAGTGCAGAGGGCAGGGGTTGCCATGTACTTTTATTGTATTTTTCTCCCTGGAAGACTAATAAAAGAAAAATAATGTAGATTATGAAGTGGCAACAGAAGTCCTCCTGCTTTAAAACCATTTTCTGACACTTGATTCGAGATTCATTTTGTTTTAAATTTTTAGGAAAGGAGTTAGATCTGCTAACCAGCAAAGGTTCTAGGGAGTGGGAATTTTGATGAGATGTCAGCGGAGGTTGGAGAAAGTTCTGAACAGCCAGGTCACTGGAGGGCTAAAGGTTCTGGGGAGGGCATTGTGAGTAGGTTTCGGTAAAGAAGTCAAGAGGATGAGATGTACATGGCCTGCGGGGTGACACTGTGACACAGACAAGGACACTATGAAAGAACTTGTCTACTGCCAAGAGTAAAATGGAAATCCTGGAGCCAACTCACTGTCGTCCGTGCCTGGGAGGGGACCCCTGCTCGGGCACCTACCAAGCCTCAGAACCAGGACCTGAATTCCCTGTTGGGTTTGTGAGGTGTTGAGCCGAGCTCACTAACCCTCTGCCATACTGTACCAATGACATGACCTCTTGTGTGATTCTCTCGGCCACGTTATGAATTGTACATTACCCCCATTTTACATATAGGGTAACATCTTAGCCACCAAATTCGTGGCACAGTTTGAGTTGAGCCTTCTTTCAGCCTCATCCATACGCCCATCCCGGCAGCCTGTTTCTTGCCAAACCTCATGATGCCTCCTCTCTTACCAGCATCAGCATCAGCACACTCCCCGCAAGCGCTGGCCCCTTTCTGATTCCTCGTTTCGGGTTTTTTCCTTCCCTTGCCCCAGCACAGGATTTCGAGTACTTGCTTTAGTTAGGGTGTGATTAATAGTTTAAGATTCCCAACGTCTTTCCTCCTGTTTCAATCCAGTCTCCTAGGTCTAGTCCCATCCTCCCAACTGGAAAGAAGGGCAGCATTGCATGTTGCATGCGTAGTTCCTGCGTTGACAAGGAAGCAAGCGAACTGCTAGGATGTGTCCCCGGGCTATGCTGGGAAACTTCCTGGTGGTAGAAATAAAGAAGAAAGTTTCTTGTAAAAGAAAGTCTCAGTGCAAACTCATTAATCAGTAGTCTAATGGGAGACGCAGAAGCAGGACCTGAGCTCAGGCGGGGAAAAAAAGCTGAGGATGACAGCCTGGAGGGCAGAGGCCAACCTGGCCACTGCGCGATGCAAGAGCCCAGACCCGCTCTGGTTCCCTAGAGAGGCAGGGGCAGTGGAGTCTGCAGAGGGCTGCGGGGACTTTATCTGAGGACAGCTGTGTAGGCGGTAAGACTGAAGGAGTCTTCTTGCTCTACTGGTGGATCCATCAAGGCTGCAGTTCCTGAAATGTGGAGAAAAACTTTTCATCCTGTAATTCAAATAAGATGGAAGTCCGTATGTGCATGAAGGGAATCTGGCACTGCCAAAGGCAAATTGTCCTCCTGCAGTCACCCTTTGATGTAAATCCTTCCAGGCCTTTCCATGCCTGTGCGTGCATGTATGAGTGTGAATCGTCAGTGCATAGACTTGGTGCCTAAATCAAAAGTTGCAAAAAGAAGCAGACAGTGAAGAGGAAGTCACTTCCCCTGCCCTTCCTATTTCTTATTCGTGTTTAGTGTTTGGCCAGTCTCTGGGTTAGACTTGTGGTTTCTAATCTTTTGTTATAGGCAACATTGTAACAATTGTTACCTGGTTTATTTTGCACATGTGCAAGTCAATAGGAGGTAAGCCTGGGATGGGCCTTCCGTCCAGGCGTCCAGGGGTATGTGCCTGACAGCACCGATGGGTGCTACCAGATGGCTACATCTTGCCAGTGGTGTTATCAGCATTCTGAAAATCTTCGCCAACCTGCTGCGTTGTGAGGCAGATATCAGTGTGCTTTTAATTTTCATCAATGAGCAAAGTTCATATCTGTCCACCTGTCTACAGGTGTAGTGGTCCAGGATATAGACTCTCTGGCTTTGAATCCAGCACCTCAGTTTACTTACTGTGCAACCTTGACAGATTGCTTGACCTCTCCGGGCTTCAGTTGCTCTGTCTGCACAGTGGGACTGATAAGAATACCCATTTCTTAGAGCTGCTGTTAATTCCTTTGATTTTCGTAGAGTCAGCTACTTAAAATAGTACTAGCCTTGGCCGTGAGGCTCTTTGGGAGCAGCTGCATTTCCTTTTCCAGGATGGATGTTGTCCCTGCACGTGCCACCCACCCTGGGATCTGCTTTCTCCATGAACTCTGGCCAGACACGGCAGGCCGCATGAGCACGCACTGCATCTTTTTGAGCTGTTTGCTTCCCTTGCTCCCCTGGAGCTCTGTCCATCAGCACACCAGCGACAGGGGGACCCCAGTTCCCTCTGACACTGATGAGCCTGCTTCTTTGTCTGTCTGATGCCTCCCTTCCTCCCCGTGGATGACATGGAGAACTGGAACTCGAGCGTACCTGCCAGGTAGCGTTTACACTGGGAGGAAAAGTAAATGACATGGGGAATAGAGAATGGGGTGTCTCGGGGTATGGTTCCCTGTGGGTGTAAGGACCCGGTGGCGTGGTTTAGAGAGAGGGAAGGGAGCCCTCTGCCCCAGGACAGCCTCTGCTCCATCCTGTAAGTGTCAGAGCTGCCTGGTTGGGGTTTATTTCTCAATGTTTTTGCTTTTAGAAGTGTGGTAACGGCACCATATGGACATGGGCCTGATTCATGTTCTCTTAAAATAATTACATGTGCCTATTTTAGGAGAGGAAACTTCTGGAATCCAGAATATTGTTTTTGCTTTAAAAAATTACCCACACTAATATCTTTTGTGGGGATGGTCCAGGGGTCCAAGGGTCCAGGGGTCCATGGGTATGTGCCTGACAGCACCGATGGGTGCTACCAGATGGCTACATCTTGCCAGTGGTGTTATCAACTTTCTGAAAATCTTGTAGCTGCCCTCCAAACCCAGAAACACAATGTCCTGTAGTGGACATGGTTCACCTGATACATTGTCTTTCAGTTATTTCAGGATGATTCCTAATTGCCAACAGGTCTTGTTATAAAAGCCTGTTTGTACACTGGTTACTTGAAAACTGCATCTGTAGCTATCCAGTTTAAAAGCCTCGTTAACACACAACAGGACACACTTCCCAGTGACTGCAAACCCAAGTCTGGCCACTGCTCTGCCAGGACCCCATTCGAGAGATGGCAACAAGGGGTAGAGGTCAGGACTGAGATGACAGAACACATGTGTGAGGGCTGACCGTGAGCACTGAGAATGGACCAGGCTCATAGAGGTGACAGGGCCACTAGCAGGGCCGGCCTAAGGAAAGGAGCCTTCAGGACAGTTAGTGGAGGGGTGGTTTAGAGAGAAGGAAAGGAGTCCTCAGGCTCCTCAGGTAGAGGGTGCCTTGGGGCAGGGGCTGTCGGGTGGAGGCCTCAGTGGACTGACAGGCATTCATGGCATTGAGAAGTAAACAGAAAACCCTTGACAAGTTGCTACTTTTAAAGGTATCCCATTCAAAAGTTAAAAATGAGGGCTGGCCCCCATCCTAATTATGAATATAATTATATAATTATGAATATCACTTGTTTAACAGTGTAAATAAAGGCAGGGCACTTGCCATAGTTCTTCATTCTGGTCACTGGGAGCAGTGTTATTTGCCAGTAAAGGGTTCCTAGAACTCAAGAGACCGGAATAACCAGCCTTTGAGTAATCCGTTTCCTGTCTCTCTGCCCTTCACATTATGCTGTAGAAAGAGTTTCGAGGAAAAGAGAGAAGGGTGAAAACAAGTTTATTAATTTAAGGTTCCTTTCAAGAAAAAGAGAAAAACTCAGGTGAAGGTATTAAAACAGTCAACATGAGTTCAGTAAGAAGTGAAGTCAGAACAAGTTCACTCCTCGTTGGTCATGACTGATTAGTGGAGCGAATGTGGTTTTGGATGTGTCACGTGGACAGCGTGGGACACGTGGGCGGGGAGTAGAGACGCATCTGGGAGGACTTTGCCAGCTGGGCTGGTGTAGGTGCTGTCCGAGTTGATGCTCTGTGACCTCCCTGGGACATGTCGGTGAGCTCGTCAAAGATGGAAGGGATGCCAGGGTTCATTCCTAAAGGGTCCAGTGGGTCGAAACAGCAGATAAAATCTGATCAAATATATTGGAGCTAATGTTACATCTTGTCCTTGATTCTAAAGAAACCCAAGGGAAAATTTTAGGATGGGCACATGACATAATGGCAGCTAATGGGGAGAAAAGTTTGTTTTGGGACTCGCTAATTGGGAGTATCCAATATAATCAGGCTTATTCAGAAATACCGGAACACTTGGTTGTGAAGGCCACATGTTGGAGAAGGAAACAGGCTGCGTTTTAGATGTCTGGGTGTGGTGGTGCAGACCTAGTGTAGAAATCTCCTCCGCAGTAGTCTTGCTAGCTGGTTTTCACCATTGGGAAGTGTGATAAGCTATTAATTTTTGTTTATGGTATGAAATAGGATCCAACTTTGCTTTTCCTAGATACACAATTCTCCACCACCATTTGGGAAAAATCTGTTTTTTCCCAGCGAGCCACAGTGCTGCTTTTGCTATATCGGGTGTTCACCTATGCGTAGGTCTGTTTCTGGGCTCTCTGTCATGTCACATTGACCTGTTTTCTGTCCTGAGCCAGTGCCACACCGTCTTGATGCCTCCGGTGGAAAATGACGGGACTTGCTTTCTGGCAGACTCCAGCAGAGAACATGTGCACACCTTGCTCTTCTCCAGTTTTGGGCTTTTGACATGATGGGGTTCAGGACACACTACCACAACATGTTCACTGGCATATTGAATATCTTAAGCTGATGGAGTTTGAGAAAACGGCAGAAGCGGGAAGGTCGCTCTGACCTCTCTGCCTTGCCCTTGTACCCTGAAGCAGGCCATAAAACTCATGTGAAAGGTGCTCTCCCTGTACTAGGAGGCGTGAAGACGTTTTTACCTCCAGAGACAGGGAATTTGGGGCCAAGAAACCTGTACACACAGACCTTGTTAAACCCTTATCTTTTTTAGTGACCTCCTCACCATGGAATATACCCCTAGTCCAAACCTCTCTGCCTTGTCAGTTCTTCACAAATTGATTGACTCTTTGTCTAAAAGGTATAAAAGGTTCCTGCTCTGGTCACTTCTTTGAATCTTCATTCTCTCGTGAAGGCTACCATGTTAAAAACTCTCCTGTTAATCTGTCTTTGTCAGTTTAACTTTTAGACCCAGCCAAAGACCCTAAGAGGATTAAGGAAAGCTTTTTCCTCCCCTACAGATACTTCTAGGATAAGTTTTAGAACCGAGTCTCTCTGGCTCTCTGGCTTGCACGCACACGCACCAACACACCTTCCTGAATTTTAATTTGAATTGTATTTAATTTAAAGGTAACTTTGGGGAGGATTCATGTATTTATCCTGTCTTCCAGTCCCAATCATTTATTTCTCCATTTATGTAGATTTTCTGTAATACCCCTCAGATTTTTATAATATTCTCTGTAAAAGCATCTGATGTCATTGAATTTATTCTTAAATACATTGTATTGTTACACTGTTGTATATTTTCCCTTCTAATATTTCTGTCTTATTTTTTTCTCGCCTTACTGAGCCGGCTGGGGCTTGTGGTAGTGTTGGATAAAAGCAATGGTGTAGAGCAGCCGTCCCCAACCTTTTTGGCATCAGGGACCGGTGCTCCTTTGAGAATCTGATGCCTGATGATCTGAGGTGGAGCTGAGGCGGTGATGCTAGCGCTGGGGAGCGGCTGCAAATACAGACGAGGCTTTGCCGGCCCGCTACTCCACTCACCTCCTGCTGTGCAGGTTCCTAACAGGTCTGTGGCCCAGGGTTGGAGACCCCTGGTGTAGAGAGGACATCCTGGTTTTATTCCTGATCTCAAAAAGAATGTTTCCTTAAGTGTTACCATTAAGCGTGATGTTTGCTGTGGGCTTTTTAGTGGATGTCTCTGAACAGATAAGAAAATTCACTTATATTCTTAGTCTGCATAGAACGTTTTTTAATTTGCGCATGGATGTTACATTTTGTCATGCTTTTTCTGCATCTATTGAGATAAACAGATTAAGAGAACAATAGATGGTAAATTTATTAACTATATTTTCTAATATTAAATGATCTTATATTCCTGTGATAACATCAACTTAATTGTATTATCCTTTTAAAATGACATTAGATTCTGTTTGGTAGTATTATTTAGGATGTTTGCATCTCGGTTCCTAAGAAGAAAATTATAGAGAGTTTTTCATTCTTGTCTTGCTCCAATCGAGGTGTGGTATCAGATTAAGCTGGCTGCGTTGGATGGTTGGAGAGTGCTCCTTCTTTTTCTTTTCTGGAAGAGTTTGTGTCATATTGGAATTATTCCTTCCTTGATGTTTAGTAGAATTTACCAGTGATGCTCTCTGGGCCTTTCGGTTTGTTTAATTTTTGTGTGTGTGTATATTTGGGGAGGAAACGTTTTCCTAGTGATTCCATTTCTTGTTAATAAGATTATTCAAGTTTTCTGTTTCTTCTTGAGTCAGTTTTGAAAAGTTATACTTTTTTCTAGGAAATTATCTGTGGGGTTTCCATTTTGAAATACATCAACTTAAATTGATCACAGTATCCTCTTATCCATGACTCTTATCCAAAAAGGGTGATGTCCCAGTTTCATTTCTGACAGCTATTTCTGCCTATTCAATCTCTTTCTCCCCTGATCAGTCTTACTAGAGGTTTGTCAATTTTATTCATCTTTTGCATGAACAAACTTTTGGCTTTGTTAGGCCTCTCTAGTGTATTCATGTTTTTCTTCTCTGTTTCATTATATTTTTCCTATTTATTCCTTTCTTATATTTTATTTGGGTTGTTTTTCTGTTACCTTTCTAACTTCTTTTTTCCCCCAGCTTTATTGAAGTATATAGACAGTTAGTTGCTTAATTTACATTGTACAATCCAATGAGTTTTTTTTTTAATTATGGTTGGCACACAGTAATATATTGGTTTCAGTTGTACAGCATAACGATTAGAGATCTGTATAACTCACAAAAAGGTCACGCCACTAAACGTAGTACCCGTTTTCCCCCTTACGTGTTTTTTACAGCATTGTTCACTATTTTTCTTAAGCTACACTTTATGTCTCCATGACTAGTTTGTATCTGTCCTTTTGTACTTCTTAATCCCTTTGCCCTTTTTCACAAAAAAGCTATGGTTAGATGCCATAAAGTAGGTGGCAGTGCCCTAACCGTGTGTGTGTTGTCAGGCCGGAAGGCCTCTTCCATCCCTGTCTCTCCTTTTATACAACACTCTAACTCCTTAGAGATGAGTATTTAGTTCCTTAATTCCACCTGTCTTATTTCCTAATATACATCCTTTAAGATTATACATTTCCCTGTAAGTACTGGTAAGTAGTTATTTTATTATTTTATTAGATCTTTAACTTCTAGTCCTGTCCACCCCCCCGCCATGCTTCAAAATAAATGCATCCTAAACACATCTTCTTGATGTATTTCATTCTCTCTGCAACTCACTGTATATCTTGATTCATTGACAGGTTGTGACATTTTTCTCCTGTCCCAGCTGTGTGGACAGTGCCACACGCCCTCTGAACAACAACGGCTCTTGCGTGTATATTCCAGTGTTTCTTCTGTCAGAGAGCCCAGCAGAGCCCCAGTTCTTCCAGTGCCAGCCCTGAGCTGAGCGAGGAGTGCCCAGCAGAGATGGTGAAGATGACAAAATCCAAAACTTTCCAAGCTTATTTGCCAAACTGCCACCGAACATACAGCTGTGTCCATTGCAGAGCCCACCTGGCCAATCATGATGAGCTGATCTCCAAGGCAAGTGATTTGTGTCTAGCAATGAACAAGACACCCTTGACAATGATTATCATACCTAATTAGTAGATGAATACTGAACCATCACATGGCTTCCTGGTTTTGCTGTGTCGTAAAAGTCTAGAGCCTCCGGGCAGCGTTGATGAAAGTTTGTGCAGGATCAGGTGTGGCTACACCACGATTTTAGTCATGATCTCGATCCATGGGTGAGTTTGGAGGGCTGGGCAACTGAGACTCCCACAGATCACGAAAAGCAAGATGAATCAGTTATTTGTCAGAGCAGTAAAATTAGTGTGAAACCAGAGACACTGAAGGAACAAAGGAAGTCCAGAAAATCTGTGGAAATAGTTTAATAATAAAGGAATTAGGAACTTTTTAAAACTCAGAATGGTTAAGAGGAAAAGAGGCTATCTTAGGGGACATGGGGTGTTTCAGGAAAATGCCCAGGAGGGAAGCTGCGGGCACTCTGCAGGATTGGGAACGGTCTGGTACATGTGAAAAGAACAGCCTGATTCTTCCTTATTAAGTTGAACTCTGTTAGTGGTATGTAATGTTTATAATCAACCACTGTGACCATTTAGAACAATCCAAACAGTGGATAAGTGAATGATCCCTCGGGGAACAGTGACAGTCCTCTCGCACCCATCCTCACAGGTCTGCCTTCCTAGGCTACATGAACCCTGTTTTCCTCCTAAAGCAAAGTCCGTCAGGAAGTTGTGCCTTTCAGGAATCTTTGCTTAGTCTTCTTGTTTCATTCAATTAGAACATTTATCTAATTGTCTTTTGATTAGGTAATAACGAGAGGTTTTCTCGTTTCTGTTCATCATCTAAAATAAAAACTGTTAAACAAGGCAGAGTTTCTCTTCTCTCATTGCTTCTGTGGCTCGTTTATCCATTGAGAAGTTTCAGGTCAGAAGTAGGAGTACCTCGGGCACCTGGTTTCCTGGTTGCTTTCCAGGGCAGAGCCACTCTGGGGCCTCCACATCGGGGCTTTGCGGCTTAGCGACCTTGCCGAGCCTGTGACACCTGAGCAGGTGTCAGAGTCAGGCACCATTACGGCTGGTGGATCCATCATGAGGTGAGCCAAAAGGAGTTTGAGCTGCTTCTTTCAAAGAACCCTAAAGCTATTAAGCTGTTTTTAAAATCACATCAAGAGCAGAGGCCTGCTAGGCGGAAACAGTCATGACATCGAATGAGCATTTCAGGATGAAAAGGTGCTGAGAACCTAACCTCTCCCGGCACACAGGCTGCCAAAAGGTGTTAGACGTGTGTTTCGGCTCGTGATAAACTGCTCTCTCACCCTTATATTGTTCTGCCAAATACTTATCACATAGACTAGAACCCAGTACCGTCCTGATGGGTTCACCAGCCTCTGGGTCCATCTTTGCAACAAGCTGTCTGTCCCCTAGCCCAGGGGTCCCCAACCCCTGGTCTGTGGCCTGTTAGGAACTGGGCTGCACAGCAGGAGGTGAGAGGCAGAGTTGAGCGAGCAAAACTTCATCTGTATTTGCAGCCGCTCCCCAGCACTAGCATCACCACCTCAGCTCCACCTCAAATCATCAGGCATTAGATTCTCATAGGAGCACTGGTCCCTGGTGCCAAAAAGGTTGGGGACCACTGCTCTAGCCCAAGGGGGCCTTTTTGGTGTAGGTAGGTCTAGTTGTTAGAAGGTTCTGTCTAGTTTGCAAACTGTCTGCAGGTCACATCTGGCATACCACCTGTTTTTGTAAAGTGTTATGTATCACCACAACAGAGTAGTTGGCAACAGTGGCTGTATGGCCCCCAAAACCTAAAATAGTTATCACCTGACTTTTATAGAAGTTTGCAGAGCCCTGCTGAAGTCATACTGTGGCTTGAATCTGAACCACAGATCTAATCACATATTTATCCAAACTTTGTGAAAAAAATAAGGACTTGAAGAATAGGCGAGAATTAGGAAAATCATTCTAGAAAATTGAAGGCTGATAGGGATTTTTGAAAAGTCCATTAAGATGATTCTTTGTTAAATGGGACATAAAATAATATTCCTTATTCTAGGAAGCTATGTAAGGGAAGACCCCTTTTTAAGTCTGAAAATTGTATATTTAAATCAAAACACTGCTAGTCTCAGGCTAGGATTCCTGCAATAACAAAGAGCCCCAAATCTCAGTGGCTTAAAACAAAAGTTTATTTCTTGCTCAGGTGAAATGTCCATCATGGGTTGGTTGGGGCTCTGTTTTCTTTAATTATAAAAGAAACTTGCTTATAATTACACATTAAAGTGATGAGAATGTATAAAGTAAAAAATGAGAATTTTTTTTCCTCCTTCTTTATCCCAACTCCATTCCTTAGAGTTATCACTTAGTAGTTTGGTGTATGGTCCCTCTGTTTTCTTGTTTGTTTTGTTTTTTTTGTGTGTGTGTTGTTTTTTTGCCCATAGGAACACATTTTCACTTTAAATAAGGGGCTCACAAGGCATGTCATTTTATAGCTAGCTTTTTGTCACTTGACAGTATTCTATTACTTTTTTTCCACGCCCACTCACAACAATCTGTTTCCGTCCCCCTTTTAATGTCTACACGAGTCCCGGATGTGGACACACTTCTTTGCTTGCTTGTTGGTGGTATCTGTCACCCATTTTTGGGGGGGATTACAAACACCTTATGGTAACCATTATTGTCACATTTCCTCATGTACTCCAGCCGATTCACTCTTTATAGTCAATTCTTAGAAGTAAAATTGCAGGGCCATTCAGTATGTGCCTTTTACTTTTTGATAGTCAACTCGTATGCCAGTCAACATTCTTCACAGTCTTTTGAATTTGTGATAAGCAAAGAAACCAAAAGAAGTGTTCTTGATACGGTTTGCATTTCATTGATTAGCTTTGCGATCTGTCTGTTCTATTTGGTCATTTGAGCCTGGCACTAGGGCAGAGGAGCCTCCAGCTGGTGTTCTCTCTTGCTCCCTGAGAGTACAGGTTGTGGGAGCTAAGTCCCGGGACTGACCTGATACTATCAGGGAGGTACAAATACCCTCATCTGCCTCCTTGGTCATCTTAGAACACATGAATATGCTTCAAGCTATTTCTTAGCTTGTAACATTTTCCTGAGATGAGCTGTCACTGGAACGTACTTTCCTTTAAGTAAGGAGCCATCTCGTGCTGTGAACTTTATTTTTTTAATTTCAGTGGAAAAACCTGGAAATGTCCCTTTGCCCTTAATATTTCACAGGCGTGTATCACGCCCTGGTGGAGTGAACGACAGCATCCGGGCAGCCCTCTGGGGCTCTAGAAGTGTCCTGACTCCCCGGGCTCTCCTGTCGGGACGATACTTGTCCTGCTTGGGGCCCTGAGTGCAAGCCTCTCGTGCTCTGCAAGGCGGCCCTTCGATTCACGTTGCGGTTCGTGGCCTGAAACACAGCTTCTCCACTTTGATTCCAAAGTGCCACACTCACTGTCACTTTTTGTCTTATCACAACGAATCTTTTAAAACTTTATTCTTTTTTGCAGTCCTTTCAGGGAAGTCAGGGACGCGCCTACCTCTTCAATTCTGTGTGAGTATCGCTGCATCAGCCTTGCAGACATGCCATGTTCGCTGTCATCACATTTATTGTATCACATCCATTTAACTCCTCAAAGCTGGAATACATAGCACTCACCAGTGGTCTAGAATGACCCAGTGCCTCTTACATGATCTTAAAGAATTTTCTCTGTAGTCTGAGTTTCGGGAAAGCGTAATGTTCTTAACCAAGGAATTAGCCCCCGCGCACAGGCTGTGCTTTGTTTCCCATTTGTGGTGGGTTTTCAGTTTTGCTACAGAACTGTAGTCACCTCCCCACAGCCTGTCCCGTCCTGGGGAAATAAAAAGTTTTCTCTCCTAAGAGGTGGTGGTAGGTAGGGGTTTGGGGAGGTGGGGAGTTAAGCCGCAGCACTGCTGCATCTCCAGTACCCAAAGGTGGGGACCAGGGTGGGAGCTGGTTACCCCTTCCAGGTGGGGGTGGGAATGCCCCGCTGAGGGAGGGCATCTCCAGCATCTCCTGCCTCCTTCCCTTCAGGGTGAATGTAGGCTGTGGCCCCGCGGAAGAGAGAGTCCTTCTCACTGGCCTACACGCTGTCGCAGACATCTATTGTGAAAACTGCAAAACCACGCTCGGGTGGAAATATGTGAGTGACCACCTTGTTCTGACATCAGAGAATGTGGATTTACTGTAATAAATAAAACATTTACAAATGGAAACAAAATTTGCAAAGGAGTAAGACCTTCTCCTGGACGAGTAATCCTATCAGACTTGTTTACAAAGAATACATGTTTTAAATAGAATTTCTTTCAAGCCGGTTAAAGATGTATGGGTGCACAGCCCTACTCCACGGACCCTGCTCCCTCTGAGGGTCCCATGGAACAAGGGGAAGGAGGCTGTTCTCTCCTGTCTGGGGGACAATCACTGCCTGGCCAGGTCTCAGAGTGGCTGGTGACATTAATTTGCAGTAGAGGTCACAGCAGACCATCTGCAGGGCTTGTCACCTCATAGGCCCCGGACGCCCTCCGCCTGGGGACTGTCACTGCTAGTTCCTTCTTCCTCCCTGCACCTGAGCTGACTGTTGCCATCCCACCCCATCTGCAGCCTTCGCCACTGTGGCTCTTTCCCCATCCCACCCCGAGCATGCTACAGATGCAGGCCGGGCCCCGCTACCCTCACCAAGGCCTGGCCCTCCCCTGCTTGCTGAGCATCGGTGGTGAGAGGTCCCTCCTCCTCGACACTCTGCTTATTCTTCTTCCCACCTCTCCGCTGACCTTCCTCTGATATCAGCCTGTTTTGACGTCCTGTCTGTCGACTGCTCCCAAACTTGTCCCTCTACCCCAGCTTCTGTCCTGTATACCTAGAGCCTCTGGCCATCTCATGCATACCCCCCGACTCAGCATGCGAGGTCCATCTAGAGCGGCACCTCCTGGAAGTTGTCTTCCACAGCCATTCTGGTTTTCTTCGTCAAGGCCACCTGCTCTCCCTCCTTCTGGAATTCTTGATTGTTGCTGGTATCCCATATCCCCATCAGATACGAGGGGACACAGTCTCCAGCACGGAGATGGGCTCAGCGAGGCCTGCATGCTTCCCCAGCCGTTAACACCTGCTCACCTGTTCCATTCCACCCCTGGCTGCCCCCCGACAAAGGGCCTTCTCTCCCACCAGTGTCTGCTCGGCGCTGTCCCTTCCACTCTCCTTTTACTTGGAGTCCCCGGAAGGAGCATCTTGCTCCTCTTCCTACCTCCCAAATTGCCCTGCACATGATAAGTGCCCAGGAACAAATCTGAATTCATATTGCCCTACAAGTTTGGCCGTAACTTGATGACAGTATATAGTAGGCCTGCGCTGCCCTCGATGAACTCATTATCTGAAACAGACTCCTCCCAGCCACCAGCCTGGCACAGGGAATATCTGGGGAGCCATACTATAGACTTTTCTCTGCCTAGAGTATAATGTAGCTGAAAAATGAAAGTCTGTCCTGAAACCTCTTCTCTCTCTTTTTTTTTAAAGGAACATGCCTTTGAGAGCAGTCAGAAATATAAGGAAGGAAAATTTATTATTGAGCTTGCCCACATGATCAAAGACAATGGTTGGGAGTAAAGTGAAGACTTTCTGTTCTCTTTTGAATACTGTTTTATGAGACTGTAATGTAATGGAAACATAGGAGCATCCTGGATGACAATATTTCTTGAACCTTGCAGGCCGGCCTCTCCTTGCTGTTCCTGTGGGTAAGGCTCCATCCGGTCTATATCCTCTTCACATATGTGGTCATTTCTGAAATGTTTCGATGACCTTTTCCTAACGTCTCAAGTTCTAGAGAAAGAATTAACCAACTGATGACTTATCCGTCTAGTTAATACCTTCTTTAACCTCTGCCTTTAAGATAAAGTTGGGCTGTGCTCTTTCATCTTTCATGTTTGATGGAAACCAAACCGAATCTCTACAGACCGCAGGGACAGGGTCTCCTTAGAGAACAGCTTCACCCCTGTCATTTAGAGTGAAGGTATTGTAGCCTACTTTTTACTTAATTTGCAAAATTACAAATTGATTATTCCTCTTGCAAATGAGCTGTTAAGTCATAGTGCTCATTTTGCTTCTTGATAAGCGATCAACAACAAATCTATACACCAAGGGTGTTTTTTTAGTCATGTTCAAAAACAGAGGACACCACTGATAATATTTTAGATAAGCTGTAAATAAAGAAAATGTGTCTAATGGATCATCTTGCTCATTTAAGATAATATCTTCCTTAGGTAGAAAGCAAACTAGCCATTAGCAAGGACTGTTCCAACGGCCTGAGGGCACCTGTGCAGAAGCCACAGTCCCTGTCCCAGGGCCTGGAGGTGGGGCTTCTGTGTTGGTCAGTCGCTGAGTCGCTGGACCATGGAGCAATAGTTTAACACACTGGACCGAGTAAATCGGATTTCCTTTTCTACTCTGATGTACTTGAAGAAAATAATTATTTTTACATACAAAAGATGCCAAGACTAACAGGATTAACTTCTAAACTTGAGATTTGCTAGATTGTTTTAATGTTTTCAGAAAAGGTTAAAGTTGCAAGACAGGTTTCCACTTTGTAAATGAGATGTTTGGTTTACTGAACGGGTCACCCTGTCCCGCCTTGTTCTGTCCCATGGGCTGACACAGAAGGGACCTGGACAGTCTCCTAAGTCTTGAGTTTCTACCACGTATTTTAAGTTCCAATCCACCTGTGCTTCTGCAGAGAGTAGGCACTACGCAGGGATTTTGGCCAATTTGCAGAGAATGGAGGCCAAAAAACATTCCCAAAGAAGTTTTGGTGTTTACTGTTCCAACCCGACTCCAGCCAGTGGGCCTGGCCTACTACGCCAGGCATCTGGAGAGGCCTTCGCTCTGGTCACCATGGCATGAGACTCATGGGACCCCTGCATCTACGGGCAAGAAAAGGGCCCGGGGGAGGCAGGGAGAGAGCAGTGTACCTAGATGTTTCTCAGCCTGTGGGATGGCTCTGAGACTGCCTTTAGACAGGGTTAGTCCGGTGGCAACAAGCGTGATGTGGCTGGGGACACCTCCAGCCTCTGCTAAGCCTAGAACCCGTGGCCCGTGCAGGCACTGGGCCCCCTGCTACTCACCTAGAGCTCCCTCCTGGTATTGTCTCTGCCTGGCTCAGACCCTCGGAGTGTGGGAAACGTCACAGCCCTGGGCACTGGGACACCAGGGCGTGTTAGCGCATGGAGGAGCCCTGATGCTCACCTCGACTATAGCGGGGAGAGCTTCGTAAGCTGTGGGTGCTCTGGCCAGCTGCTGCTTCCCTGAGCTGATGTCCCCGCAGATCTAGGCTGTCCCAGCACATCCCCGTGTGTCTAAGTCAGTGTTCGGCTGCGCAGCCTTCAAGCCTCCGGGGCAGAGTCACTCACACGGTGCTCTCACTGCCGTGGTCCGAAATCTGAAGACGCTTCCCTCGCACGCTGGCACGTGGAACAGTCAATGTCTGCGGCTCGGTCCTTAGTGCAAACGTGGAAGGGACTGAAAGACACCTTCCGTGAGAAGTGAGTACGAATTGAAAACTTGGCCTAAACTGACATTTCCCTTCTCATCTCGATCCCTCTACAAACCGCAGTACTGCATCTGGAGGCGAGGACCAGGGAAACGGGGGCCATGTGACGGACTGCGGGGCTGAGGACAGTGGCTCTTGAGCCTCTCCATAAGGTCTTTACTTAAATCGAAGAATCTAAAGTTATTCTGACCGATTTTTGTATATACTAAACTTATATTTAAAGCTTTTATATGTTCTGGGCAAGTTTACTGCTCCTTCAATTTGAGCACTTTGGTTTTTGTATCGTCTTTTGTGATGGCCTTGAAAATTTTTTCCTCGTGGTCCTATGACTTATTTGTATTTTTTTGTAATTGATGCCAACACTCTTACTACTTTTTTGTTGGTCTTTTGCAAAATCCAAGCTCCTTTTGAAACCAAATGAACTGACCGTGAGCTGGCTTCAGGGAAGGACGTCAACAAGACCATGATGTGCTGGTAAAGTGCTAGAATGTTCCACCCTCTTAAGTTCCTAAACAGTAAATAACATCCCCTGACTTTTATTTAAATTATTTAAAGTATCTTTTCCTTGAGAGAAGCGAGAGGTAATGCCAGGATTATAAATGCATTTAATTTAAACGACACCATGTCCTCTGGCATAATACATTTGCTTTAGAAATGCGGTTTAGTTTTGTTGCCATTTTATATATACATATATATATATATGTATAGTATTTTTATACCTTAACACTTTTTCTTGATGGCATCTGTCAGATATTAGCAAGGATCAGAAATGGAAATTTTTCAAAAGTCCTTTAATTTACCCAGTGACCTCACCAGGTACTTACAAAATCCAAGTGGTTTTACTATCTGGAAAACTGTGACTTAAGCTACAAACAACCTATGGAAATGTAAACCCTCATTGTCAAAGGCTCTGGACCAGCCTGTCCTCCCACAGCTCCGTTGGGGCTGCAGCCTGGGCCAGCCCAAAGTTTCGCCCCGTGGAGCAGGACCGCCAAGCCCGAGCGCACAAGCCTCTCTCGGCCTCCCTGTGTCCAGCCCTTGGTCATCTGTGTCTGTGTGAGGTTTAAAAATAAAGCTTCCATGTCTGATGTCTCTTTTTTCAGTAGCACACCTGTCTCGAGCACTCTGCCCTGACGCTGAGGGGTGAGGTCCTGGTGCCCCGCAGCTCCCACTGGGAGCAAAGGGGTCCAGGGTCTCCTCTCCCTAGGCTGCTTCGGTCCTGTTCTGTCATACATGGCCACCACCGCAGAAGCACTCTCTGGAGCTCCGGCCACTGGGCTCCCCATCTGTTTGCGGCCTGTGAGCCTGGCCTGAGGAAAGCCTACCTGTGCAGGTAGAGGACTGCGGCTAAGCCACACTCACCTTCTGCTTCTGAACTGCTAAAGGGTGAGGCCCCCACTCCCAAGAAGCTCAGGAGCCCTTGGTATGTTGTACCCACCCCCCAGGGCCTTCACCCTCCTTCCAACCCAGCCTTCACCCGTGATAGAGTGTGGGTGCAAATGGCAAGTAAGCCTTTCACAAGTGGGTTCTCAGAGCTGTAGCTGGGAGGGTGGCATGAAGGGGCTGTGAAGAAGTGAGAGACCAGGGCCTGGCTAAAGGTGCAGAGGGGCTAGGAAGTCCCTCTGTAGAGCTCAGGTCCCTGGCTGACGGTCATGGGCAAGGGGGACAGGCTGTAGGTGGGGTACAGACCTTGTTCTCAGCAGAGTGGAAAGCCAGTGATTGGCCTGAAGCAAGATGACAAAGGGCTGGTAAGCTCTGGGAAGGTGACATGGCAACTGTGTGGGCATGCAGGAGGGGCATGGACAGAGGCAGATTACAGACAAAGGGCTGGGGCCTGGGATTCAGTATCAGAGGGGAAAATAAGAGCCAAAATACGTTCCAGAAGAGACTGATGGAGTCAAGGTTTTGGGTGAGGACAGAAAGGAAAAAAAAAAAAGGATGGAGCCGAGGTAGAATTTCAGTTTGCCGAGCGGGAAGGGGTGGTGGCCTGTGCCAACCTCAGGACCACAGGCACTGAGGGAGGGTGTCAGGGGTGGGCAGTAACCCTTTCAGAGCCCCCGGGCTGGAAGAGATGGAAGTCCTGGGAGGAGACAGCTGTCCTCACGCTTCTGCAAAGGCACTTCGGGAAAGCTGAGGTAGTGGTGTTAAGGTTGAGAAGGGAAGCAGAGCTGGCACGGGCTACAGAATGAATGGAAAACAAGGACAGGCAGGCAAGAGTAAGTTTTTAAAAGACATTTATAGAAAAATAGGGATCTTTTAGGAATGCTGGTGCGGCTGGCCTGAAAGACCGCCAAGAGCTGGGGCTGAGGGTAGTGTCTGAGCACAAGGGTGGGGACAAGGGGGACACGCCAGCTCGCCGGGGCCTTCTGCACGTCCCATCAGGAAAGCAGGAGCCAGCTGGCTTCACCCACATGTGGTCTCATCACCATCCTGAGAAAGAAAGGTAGGCAGTCCTGGAGTAGAACCCAGATCCAGGCTGGCCAAAGCAGGCATGCAGTGGGCATGGCTGTGACCGCCCATGGTCCTTGATGGGTAGGCTGGATTCAGTGAACCCAAGCAAAATGCAGCAGAAAAGATTTTTGGAAATAAACATAAAGGTTCTATCCAGGGTCCTCAAACCCGAGGTCTGTCAAAACCCGACCTTGGTGCCCCACCCCTAGTCTCCAGATAGGAAGGTCTGAGGTCTGACAATCTAACAAGAAAGATCTCCCGTGCCTGGTGGTCCAAGACATGGGCTCTGGCTGGGCCCAGGCCTAGAAACGGGGCCCGGCCACTCTGTACCGGGTGAGAGATGAGGAGGCATGGGCTCCCGGAGCCAAGAAAGAGGACCCAGGTAACAAGCAAGAGCTTCACTGAGTCACAGCCCAAAGGGCAGGCGTTATGAGGGCAGAAAATTCAGAGGTGTGGACACAAGTACCACCCTGGCATCCCTACCAGTGTCCAGAGCAGCAGGCCTGCTGCTACCATGAGCTGAAGTCCCCAAAACCTCGGCTGGGCTTTTTCTTGGCCACGGGGACAGCCGCACTGGTTGATGGTTCTTCCTCTGCTACACGTTTCCTGGGAAGAAGAGCCAGACTCCAGCTGCCATGGGGTACCAGGCCCCAAGCTGGGAGCCATGTGTCCACACACGCATCCCTCACCCCAAGTCTCACTTCAGCCTGCACTGAGACCCCTCCCCCAGCACATGCACACAGCTCAACCCCGGTACTCGTTGCTTCCCCTTGCCACTAGCAGGCTCCGACCTGTGGGCGTCCGTAAGCACGTGGGGCATGTTATGGAAACAGACGCCAGCCCCCACCCCACTTACGTGGCTGCCGGGTTGATGTACTTGCCCACCCCCTGGCGGTATGTTGGGGGGCCCAGGCTCCCTGACTTGGGCTGGCTTTTCTTCACTGTGCTCTCGGGGGCCACCACCTCAAGCTGCGTCTTCTTCCGCTCCTCAGCGATCTGTGGTGGAGCAGAGCAGTGCTGTCCCACAGTCCCTGGAGCTGGGTGGGACTCCCCCAAGCCCCTTCCCAGGTGGCAGCCGCAACCCCCTCACCTGAGCATCGGCCTCCTCATAGGGGTCCACAAACACCGTGGTGGAGTCGATGCGAATCTCCTCCTACAGCAGGGGGCAGGCAAGTGAGCAGGGCGGCAGAGGCAGCAGGCCCCACCCAGTGCCAAGCCAGAAGAGCAGCCCA